AGTAACACTGGCCGGTGGCCGAAATATTATTATTAGGGACGACACCTTTAAGGACGACATCGGGTATTAGCGACGACTAGGGTTGTAAACGAACTGAACGTTCGGCAAATCGTTCGTGAACTGTTCGGCGGGAAGTTCGTTTATGTTCGTTTATTTAATAAATGAACGAACATGAACAAAAATTATCATTCATTTAGTTAAATGAACGAACATGAACAATGGTTACGTTCGTTTATTTATGTTCGTGAATGTTCGTTTATGATATTTGTTTACGTTCTTTTATGTTTGTTAGTTTAAGTTTATTTATATTCATCTATATTCAATTATTTTTTATTATATCGCTATATTATATGTTCGTTTATGTTCATATATATATGTTCAATTGTGTTTTTTTATATCTTTATTTGCTTATGTTTGTTCGTTTATGTTCCTTTAGCATGTTCACAAACATAAATGAACGAACATGAACAAAGTAATTTGTTAAACGAACGAACATGAACAAGAAAATCTCGTTCGTTTATCTGTTCGTGTTCGTTTGTTGTTCGGCTAACTTAAACGAACGAACATGAACAAGACCTTGTTCGTGTTCATTTGGTTCGTTTACAGCCCTAGCGACGACGGTTATTAGGGGCGACGCCTTTACCGACGACTATTGAGTATTAGCTACGAGGTATTTGCGGCGACCCAATTGAGACGACATGTCGTCCCTAATACCTTTAGGGGCGACTTTCTTGACTATTTGTGACGCTTTATGTCGTCCCTAAAGGTGCCATTTCTTGTTGTGCATACCCATGCACAATTTAATTGATCATAACAGTATGTCAAACAACATGTTTAAACTAATAATGAGAGATAGAAACACACCTACACTAAACATAAAAATAAAAGGAAATAATAAAACTATACATATACTTTGAACAAAGAAAACAACAAGGTTAAATAGCCCGATGCTACAAAATAAATTTAATCACAACCGGTTCACAGTCTTTAAAACTTTAAGTGATAAGTATTATTTATGATATTCGATACGAAATGTAAATCAAATACATAGTGAAATTACAGTAATCACTAAGTGGCTAACATAAAAGCCAATACCCATAAGAAGGCAAATTCATACTGAAATTATCAGTAATCACCACAAGAATATACATCATTCTTAAATTTATTATACTGGTTAGGATACCTATTACCTAAGAATAATCTATATATACTTAGTAGCACTATGATAACCCACAAATTCCTAAAGATTCTTATATCCTCCAAGGTGGCGTTTCAATAATGTCATACTCAATCGCTAATCTCTCACTATGACTCATAAGAAAACGCTCCTTTTCACCCTCCTCAACATCTTGTAAGTTGTAACACATAAGTATAATTCGGAACATACACAATAATCGCCATAATTAAATCCTCCAACACTAGATATATTGCATCACATTGAGGATGTGAATACTTACGACATAAAAAACTTCCATTTGTTATATATTCCAACCTAAATCCACCGGGACATCTTCTTCAATCCTTTTCATTAGCATTAATCCAACCGTCTTCATCCTTTCCAATTTAATTACCCGCAATTGCATATATATTTGACAACAAAACATAATACCCAAAGTTACCCGAATCAATTTCCAATAATTTATGTGAAACTACCTTACCCAAATTGGTATTTCAATAAATCCTACACAAACCAAGAAGAGCACCCTAAATAGAAGCATCAGGTTTTAAAGGGCATCCATTTTGTAAAATCATACGTTTTTTTTCTGTAATGCTTCCTTTTTCGCCCTGACACATCTAATCTTTTCATCAAAATCATGTGAAGTTTGAGAGAAGTTAATTAACATCCAGCAATCAATTGGGATGGTTATATTGTGAGCATGTAGTCCAAAAGGTGCTACATACAATGATACAAATGTGTTCATCAGATAACAATTTCAGGAACTCACCCACAAGGAAATAAAAAGTAACAAACCTTTTTGGTATTAAAGGAGTGTAATAACTTCATCTATGTAACTTTGTATAGCAATTATATGTTCTATTCCAAGCAAAAAATGAATGGAAAAATAAAAATACAAGAGCTCAGATAAGCCTATTAAACTTTTCACTTGGAGATCAAAGAAAGTTGATGGACCCCTCCACCATAAAGGCATGAAACATAAAGCCTATTAAACTTTTCACTTGGAGATCAGAGAAAGTTGATGGACCCCTCCACCATAAAGGCATGAAACATCATCGCTCCCTTAAATAGATGCACCAGCCGGGAATCGAACCCGGGTCTGTACCGTGGCAGGGTACTATTCTACCACTAGACCACTGGTGCTTTTTGTTTTATATCTTACATCTGACATACAACACTAGTAGTAGTTTAAAGGTTGAAATATATCTACTAACTACTTTTCTTTTCGAAATGGAAACACAAATCAACAAGCATGTTTCATTTCTTTTGAATTTAAACTACATTAACATGGTAAACAATAACACATCAACAATTAAGGGATATATTATGGTATTTACACTTCAAAGTGTATTGCTATTCCCACAATTATTTACCTTTATGAATTTTCAGTCTACTTTTTCTTTTTCAAATGCAATAAACCAACCTTTTTATTGCAAAAGATGAACACATTTCAAGCCTCAATAATTTCAATTGAACCCTTTAAATTGCACATTACAGATCATTAAAGTGAATAAATTACTACCAACCAGATTTTTTCTGTATCATATCTTATTTGAAAGATTGTATGTAAGTGTGATGTATCAAGATGTATTTCAAAATTACACAAAATCTCCTAATTAGAAAGATAAACCCTTATCATGGCTAAGAATTAATTACTATATATCTACACTCAGTTTTTTTTTTTTTTTATTCAACAAAAATTACAAGTAATCGGTTTCTTTTGCTTGAACAAATCCCAAATCATATTATCAAAATAGTTTATTTCGATTTACTTTGATCTTACAACAGATGGTAAGGTTTAAGTGATTTTTGGAGAAAGATAATAATTATATATATAGAGTACTTCAAAAACAATTAGAAGATTGAAAAATGGGGCATTCCGAGAATCGAACTCGGGACCTCTCGCACCCGAAGCGAGAATCATACCACTAGACCAAATGCCCGCTTGTTGTTTTTATGCTATACGATTATCCTTCAATATTGCTCGTATTTCTAACTGACGTATGTCTTGGGTTTCTTTCTAAATTCTAAGTTATTTTTTTGTCATAAATATTAAAAATTTCAGATACTGAAAGTTCAAATACTTATATACTAACATGGATTATATTTTCTCACATGCATATTCATGTATATCATCTGGTGTTCTTATTTTTACCATTAATGAAATAGGATTTTTGTTAAGAACAAATAACCGGATGGTGCATTACTTATCAACTAAATTCATTGCTAACATTCATTGTAAGTTCCTTTTTCACATAGCTTTACATCTGGAACTTATAAAGACAAGAACTTTGTAAACTTAGCGAATTAAAATGCAAATTTCTTTCACTTTGATCTTTTAGGTGATTCATTTTATTGTTTGGTTTGCTTCCTTCCATAATGATAAAGGTGAGCAAAAAAACAAGCCTAATCGAATGTTTAACCTGTCTCAAGCTTAATCGTAAATCTTATAACTGATCATAGGCCTAAAGTCAAGAAAATCCGTAACAAGGCACAAGCCTTTTTAACTAATTTTCTAAAAAATATATTTACTTAAACTTATCAGCTTATAATATTTTTCAAAAAATGGACGTGTCCGAGCTTCATTATGATTTTCGAACTCTAATTTTCTAACAAAAAGCAATTTTGATAATTGTTTTTACTGAATCTTCAAACCCCATTTTGAACATGCGTTTCTTTTGTAATTTCAAACAGGCCTAAAAAAATCAAACTTGAAGGTGTTTGTTTGCCTATTTAACTTTGATGTTTTATATAATTTTAAATGCATAACATGTTTTAACTTCCAAATTTCGATAATGTCATGGAATGCAATATATCGTTGTGGAATGTCATATAACTGTTTTGCAAACTACATATATAATTTTCGTGTAAAATGTGTAGTGTGAAATTAGGTTTTTCACGATTTAGTTGTTATCAATGTCATCAGGTAAAGAAAATGGGTATGAGGGAGTTGCACTAAGAACTTGTAACATGTTGTCTGGAATGAAGTGCCTCACGACCGAATGAAGCTCAATTTTAATGTCAAAGTCGTCCTGTCAATTTTGACTTATGATTTGACCTATAGTTATTTTTTTTACCCAAATGCCAAAAAAAAAAAAAAAAAAAGGAAAAAAAGTTGTAAATTGCCCTTTGTTGGTTCCCATCAAAACAAGATGAAATGGTCTGAAATTGCTAGAAAAATAAAATTGTTAGAAGAGATAATAAGATCCCCAAATATATAGGAATTTGTATGTAGTTCTTGGTTCAATGTATGTGTCGGCGACTAATCTTGCACTCGAGTTGCTATTGTCCAAGAAGTAAGTGTTTATTCCTAAATCTTTGAAGCTATTGTTATTAAACCAACATCTATCCTCATTAGGGAACTATTGTAACGTATACATATTTGGTTCGACTTATAATATGTATGCATTAATTTCAATAATTCATTATGTTTTGTTTTCTAATATTTTTACAACTATTTTGTATAAGTTAAAGAATTTATTACAAAGTAACACAACATATACTATTGAATTTAAATGTATCATAGATTTATTAAATAATATAAATAAGTTCCATACAAACAAAAAATTTCCTAAAGATCTACCACGTTGTCCAAAAGAGCTAGGAATGACATTTACCTCTTGGGTCGATAAGAACTCACAAATACATTTCACCTAAGTTATCATCAAACCAAACCAAAAGACAAATAAGCATTTGGGCTTATTTGGAACATATTCAAGATGTGGACATTCTTTTAACGGTGAATTAGTATATGTTTGGAATTCAACCCAATATCTCTTTATTAGAAACATCCATTAGACATTTTGTTAGCCAAATAGGCTGATCCGAATTTGTCTTCAAGATATGGATATTAGGAAGCGTTGATCATTATGTCAATGAATAACAAGGACCTTTTTATTCTCCTCAGTTTCGAACATATTTTCCCAATGATTTTCGACCTCGTTCTTTAAAGATGTCCCAAAATAGGTCATATGCACTTTTCTAATGGCATATATAATAGTTAAATTAACGAAAACTTAGTACATATTTTTTTCAAACTTGTGACCTTTGTTTCTTCTATCATACTCCATACCCCATAGCACTACTTATAAGATTACAACTGCTAAAAAAATTAGTAAATAATCTTAAGTTAATAGCACACAAAAACAATATAAACATGGACCACCGGATATATCTATACAAACTATTCACCATCAAACCATAAACCAATTTATTATCTATCTATTTGTCTGTTTCAAGACATCGAGCTTTTTAATAGTTGTGTCGCTAAAATAAGCAACTCCACCATCTCAAAACCAGCTGCTGACACGGCATCAACTTTCCCCTCACCTGTATCCAACTCATCTGACCAACTTACAGGAACACAAGCCATCTTTAAAAGCTTTGCCTCTGTCTCAACATTTTCAATAATGTCTGAAACCGTATTCAATACCGAAACAGATTTTTTAACCTAACAAGTTTCACAACAATTTATTATTGACCAATTATCAAATATTCTAATATTTAAATATTTTAAGCGTACACTTCTTTTTTTTCAATCTAAATTGAATATTGTAATTGACTATTTATAAATGTGAAACGAACATTGTGACTACACTTACATCCCAAGTGTGAACTTTTTATTGTTATCGAACTTATAAGATTAAAATATTTTTTTATAAGTTGGTAACAATAATAAATTTGTTAGGACTTTGTAATTTAAAACAAAAAATTACCAAATTATATTTGTATTTGAGTTAACACTCCTAGGGTTTTTTTTAGACTACAATGTTGTAATAGGAGGAAACAAACTTGGATGCTATAAGCTTATAATTAACAAATAAATGAAAGAATATTCTTGTTACGTGCATTTTACCTTACTTAACTTGATAGAAAAAATAAATATAATTTATATAATTAGAAGCATATAAATAAACTATATATTAATATAAATGAAATGATTACCTTAATGAGTGACAAACGAAGTCTACGAACTGTACTAGCTAAATGTTCCATGCTTTTCAAGCTCTCCATGTGTGATATATATTCAACCTTCATTCTGCATAACATATTATCTAAATATATAATCAATAAAAAAAATATAAATACATGAAAAATTAAAAACAAAAAAATCCACAAACTTTGCAAAATCCGTGGTAGCACTAGAACTGTTCTTGCTGATATTTTGTGCATAATCTTGTTGAGGATAAAAGCACTCGCTAAAGTATGTCTTTTTTAACAAACTTTTTAATCTTCCATCTTTATCATGAATCATGTTTTTCTCTTCTTTATCAATTACAAGCTTATCCTCATTGAGTTTCCTATAGTCATGTCACAAACTCTAAAATCATAAATATAAATATATATATATATATATATATATATATATATATATATATATATATATATATATATATATATATATATATATATATATATATATATATATATATATATTGGATGAAAATTATTGTTTAAATACGGAAATAAAGAATTAAACATACTCTTGTAGTAGATTGTATTCCTGCTTCAATTGTGCCAATTCCATAAGAGCAACCACCTTTTCATTTGTTACCTATTCAAATATTGTACACATAAATATAATATGAAACTAATAATATTATAACAAATTATTGAACTAAAAAAAAGGGAATGAACAACATGAAATTTACTCGAGTTAAATTTTTTTGTAGCGTCTCCATTTCACTTTCAAGAGCTGCTTTTTCGTCGCTCTCTAACAAATATCTCTCTTTTAGGGTGTTCCACATGATGATTTTAGCAATTAAATTTTATTCCTCTATTTTTGCGCTGTCTTTGAACCCTTTTAATTAAAACTTGAAAGTCCCACAAAATATTTCAGGCAAGCATTCACGTCATATTCTGAATGTCACAAAAAGTAACAGTGATCTCCATCAAAATTACAGCATAATCAATGAAATTTAAACTAGGTTAAACAAGAACATAGTGTGTAATTTTTGAACATGGTGAGATGCAAAACCCTGTGGATGTAAAATTAGGGCATATAAGAGCAAATAAAGTTACCTGAGGAGAAAAAATGGAAGCCCAAATAATCAGAATTAATCAGATGAACGAGAAGGAAGAAAGAAAGGTTATTGTTCGTTTATTGCTTCCTGGCGGGAGAGGGCTTCTATATTACTGAATTTGCTTTTTGTTTCATTTCTTTTTCTTCAACAAAATAATGAACTTTAGAAAATAAACAATTAAAAACTGAAAAACATGTTTACTTTTAGATGAAAGATACCGGATAAGAGTAAATTACACAAATGGTCCCTATGGTTTAGGCTAATTTGTATGTTTAGTCTCTAATTTATTTTTTTTAACTCGCAAGGTTCTTACTGTTTGTTTTTGTTACATGTTTGGTTCATTGCTTATTTAAAAAGACTATTTTACCCTTGTTTTTTTAATTTATTTAAATAAACACACCCACAACCACCACCCCCACACCCCCTCAACTTACCTTATCTACATCATTATTTTTTTCTATTTAAATAATAATCTTTTTAGATAATACATAGAATAAACGTGTATCAAAAACAAATAGTAGGGACCTTCAAAGTTTAAAAATAAATTAAGGATCAAGCACTCAAATTACCCCAAACCATAAAAACCATTTGTGTAATTTACTCATAAGATAAAGGTATTTAAGGGTGTTTGAGGTCACGACTAGTTAATCTATTTTTTTGAATTTTTTAAATTGTTTTGTTTAACTAGCTTAATGTAGCTTATTTTTTGAATTTTTTAAATTGTTGTGTTTAACAAGCTTAAAAATAATTTACAGCTAGCTTTTCATGAGTTTTTAAAGAAAAAAAATATTAATATACTCTTAATTAATTATAGAAAAAAACATATTCTTTTAAATGTTGTTTTATGTTATTTTATATCTTTTAGCTAATTTATCAACTAATTTTATCAAACTTGATTTTTTATCAATTAGTTTTTCAGCTATCAACTAATGTTTCAACTATCAACTAGTTTTTCAGCTAAATGTTATTACGCCAAACATAGCATTAGTAAGATTCCTGTTTTTTTCTAAAACTCTAAGTTATTTTTAGTCGTAAGTGTTTAACATTTCTAGTTAATTAAAGTTCAAATACTTATAGAGTAATATGGATTATAATTTTCTCATATGCATATTCATGTATATCATATGGTGTTATGTATTTTGTACGGTTGATGAAATAGGATTTTTGTTTAAAAATAATAATAATAACTTGACGGTGCATTATTTATAGCGAAATTACCTTTTTTTAAAAATTTACATTTGGAACCAACAAAGACAAGAACATTGTAAACTTAGCAATTAGCAAGCAAATTAAAATGCAAACTTCTTTCGCTTTTAATCTTTTAGGTGATTCACTTCATAGTTTTGTTTGCTTCCTTCCATAATAGGTAGAGGTAAGAAAAAAACCGAGCTTAATTTGATGACTACTAGATGTGGGCAACATGTTATTACATGTTACCACACCCAAAAAGTATCATGTCAGCATCCTACTCATTCATGAGTGTTATAACACTCAAGTGGAAATGGACAACATCTAATAACATGTGATAACACCAATTATTTTCTATTTTATTTTTCTTATTTATTTATTTTTTATGCTTTTTTTCTATATTTCGAATTTGTTTTTTTTTTATTTATATTTTAAAAGTAAAAATAAAATTTTAATAAAACTTAAATTAAAAACAACATTAAAAAAAATTACAACAAAACACAAAAACATTTAAAAACCTAAAAAGCAAAAAAAATAATAATAAATAAATAAATAAAATGATAAAACCAACATTTTTTGGCCTAAAACTATTCATCTTCGTTTTCGTAACCAACAAAGATGTAATTCACCAAGTCTTCACGAAGTTGCTTGTGTTTTCACTGATCTTGAATATCAACCACTCTATGTAAATATTCTAATGTCACTGGTTGAAATTGCACATGTCTTGGCTCCGTAGGCGAATACGTTGCAATATTGCGTCATTTATCTTCGACAACCATGTTATGCATTATGATACATGCATACATGATATACCGTAGAGTATCCAACTCATAAGGTCTCGCTGCATGTTCAACTATGTGCCATTTTGATTTCAAAACCCCAAAAACACGTTCAACATCCTTATGTGCTCCGTCTCGTCGTCTCTTGAAATATTTGTCCCTTGGATCTATTGGGTGTCGAAATGCCTTCACAAACATGGAATATTGTGGATATATTCCCTCTGTAAGGTAATACCTAAACTTATATCCGTTTCCATTCACTGTGAATGGAGCATCTAGGGCTTTTCCTGACAAAAGATCGTCAAATATTGGTGATTCATCAAGAACGTTGACGTCGTTGATAGAACCCGCAACCCCGAAAAAAGCATGCCAAATCCATAAATCTTGTGAAGCAACAACCTCTAAGACCAACGAAGGTGCTCCATGATGACCACTCGAATACTGGCCTTTCCACGCCACGGGGAAATTTCTCCATTTCCAGTGTGTGCATTCCGGAAAACCATGTATTTCTTCATGCGCCACATATAGTTGTTGCATATCATGCAACGAAGGTTTGCGCAAGTATTGATCACCGAAGGCTTCAACAACACATCTTGCAAATAAATACAAACTTTCTTGTGCGGTCCTCTCAGACATTCTCATATAATCATCAACAGACTCGGGCGACTCTCTCATTGCTATAAGTTTTATTGCAGCAACACATTTTTGCAATCCTGTGAAGCCTCGTTTGCCTCTAACATCATATCTTATTTGGAAAAATTCATACCTAAATAAATATTAAACATGTAAAAATTGTATTTATTTTATCTAAAAGTGACATTATATAAATTATAAAAATTGAAACAAACAATACCTAAATAAATATTAAACATGTAAAAATTGTATTTATTTTATCTAAAAGTGACATTTTATAAATTATTAAAATTGAAACAAACAATACCTAAATAAATATTAAACATGTAAAAATTGTATTTATTTTATCTAAAAGTGACATTTTATAAATTATAAAAATTGAAACAAACAATACCTAAATAAATATTAAACATGTAAAAATTGTATTTATTTTATCAAAAGTTGACATTTTGTAATTTATAAAAGTTGAAACAAACGATACCTTACTTCCATAGCGTTGGCTATCCTTTCAAAGATATTTTTTCGCAAACGGAATCTTCTTTTGAAATCGTTTGGCTGATAGATACAATTTTCAGCAAAGTAATCGTTAACTAGTCGTCTATGCCCTTCCTCACGATCTCTATTTATTTTATCTAAAAGTGACATTTTATAAATTATAAAAATTGAAACAAACAATACCTAAATAAATATTAAACATGTAAAAATTGTATTTATTTTATCAAAAGTTGACATTTTGTAATTTATAAAAGTTGAAACAAACGATACCTTACTTCCATAGCGTTGGCTATCCTTTCAAAGATATTTTTTCGCAAACGGAATCTTCTTTTGAAATCGTTTGGCTGATAGATACAATTTTCAGCAAAGTAATCGTTAACTAGTCGTCTATGCCCTTCCTCACGATCTCTATTTAACGCCACACGTCGCGTGAGTAGTGGAGCTGGATCTGACTGTAGTAGGTTGTCTGTATAAGATTGGTACGTCGTTATCATCGTTGTACGGATGAGCCGGATCAAGACGATTCATATTTTGGTTTTGAAATATTGAAAGAATTATGTAGTTGAAATACTAAAATATTGAGAGAAATTTATGTTTTTTGTATTTAAAAATGATATAAGTTGTATGTATTTATAGTGTAAAAAAGAAAAATTAATTAGTTACCGTTTGAAAAAAAACGGTCAAAATTGTGACCGTTTGCATCAATTATACGCGTTATGGCCCATGTCGTGATAACATTTGGTAACATAACACCTAATAACGGTAAGTCGGGGCGATGTTCCACCCGTTATGGCGCCGTTATTAGGTGCCATGTCACCTATAACGGAAAGCCCCGTTGCCCCCACCCGTTCCTACTCTAACGTATCCCAAGCCCATTCCAAGTTTTGTAGGAGAGCGTCCCAAAACCAATCACGGGCTTTAACCAGGTCCAATCAAGAAAATCCTAAACGAGGCCACATAACCTATTTACAAAGCACGAGCATTTTTAGATTATTTTTTTTTTAAAAAAAAAAATTACTAAAACTTATTAAATCATAAAACTCTTCGTGAATTTGAGAAGGAATATTCACCAAATGACCGCTTTTCATGCTTAAATAAGTAAATATTACAAAATGATCTTTTGTATTGGAAAAAGCCTAAATGACCATTGAGTTCGAAAAATGACATTTTCGAGCTTCGATTCTCAAAAACTAATTTTTTGAAAAAAAGAAATTTTGAAGATTGTTTCTATCGATTTTCTAACCCATTATGAGTTTTGGACCTGTAGTTCTGATAAAGGTATTTCACAGTTTCAAACGGGTCAAAATATTCACATTTGAGTTTTTTTGTTGATCTATTTAACGGTGAACTTTATATAACTTTAAATGCACAACATGTTTCAACTTTTAAATTTCCAGGATGTCATGGAAAGCAATATATCGGTGTATAATTATTTTCCAAAGTGCACATATAATTTTGGTGTAAAATGTGTAGTTTGTGAAATCATGTTTTTCTCAACTTAGTTGTTATCAAACCATCAGCTAAAGAAGACGGTCATGTAGGAGTTACAAGCCAATAACTTGTAACGTGCTGTCTGTAATAAGTACATAACGAGTAGTTGAAACTTAATCTTAATGACAGAGTTATCCTAACAAGAACCTTGCAGGTCGATTCTTACCCACCCAAACTTTTTTTCTTTTCTTTTTTGTAAACAAATGCCAAAAAACCAACTTCTAAATTGTCATATGTGGGTTTCAATTGAAACAAGAAATTGTCTAAAAATTATATAGTTCACGATGCGATAAGCATGTCAAACTAATCTCTCATATAAGTTGTCATCATTCAAGAAGTGTTTATTCCTAAACCTTTGAAGATATTGTTATTTAACCATTTGTCCTTATGGTGAAACTATTATAACATGTACATATTTGTTTATGAGTTATAATATATACTCATTAATTTCAATAATTCATTATATTTTTGTAAGTAATATTTTTACATTTATTTTGTATAAATTAAAAAAATTTCTACCAAATAACATACAAGTTACATATAACCAACATATACTACTGTTGTTGGTTGTAGTA